GTGCTTTCATTTTTACAGTTTTTGTGAATTGTTCCTTTCATTTAATGTGACAGGGACCACCTCTTTTGAGTCATTTCATTCCAGGTTTCCCCATTTATGTTTAATGGCACTGGTAGTCCAAAAAGACCCAAAGAAGCCTTTAGAACTGGTCCAAAAAAAAGGAGGGGGCAAGGCAGACAAAAGAGAATCAACTTCAAAAACAGGTCAAGAGTACATGAGGGGGGGAAATCCAAATCCCACCAAAAAAATACACCTTTGACAAATACTGTAAATACATGGTAAATAACAATTTTAAAACATCAGCCAATCAGAGAAAGCATCCTCTCTCACGTACAAAATAGCAGTTTTAAAAAATCCCTTTCCCCACAAACTAAGAAAGCGAGCTAATGACTTCACTTGATGCCTTCTCTACAGAATCCAGCAGGCAGACAAGCCAGGTGTCAGAATACAAGATGAAAGGCACCAGGAGATTCCCACAGCAATGTCCGAAATCAATGAGTAACCTGTCACTGGAGTCCAACCAATCCAGGCCCTTTTAATAATACCAATTAAAGGTAAAGGTTCCCCTTGACAATTTATGTCCAGTAATGTTCATCTCATCCCCGTTTCCAAGCCACAGAACCAGCGTTTGTCCGAAGACAATCTTCTGTGGTCACATGGCCAGTGCGACTTAGACACAGAACGCTGTTACCTTCCCACCGAGGTGGTCCCTATTTATCTACTTGTATTTGCATGCTTTCGAACCGCTAGGTTGGCGGGAGCTGGGACAAGCGACAGGCGCTCACTCCGTCACATGGATTCGATCTTACAGCTGAAGATCTACAGACCTTACAGCACAGAGGCTTCTGCAGTTTAACTCGCAGCACCACCACGTCCCCGCAGCACCACCACGTTCCAATTACATATAATGGAATTTCAAAAATCCCACACCCTTGCTTCTAGACATTCTGACTGGCAACTGACAGCAGCTCTCACAACACTATTGGATGAAAAATTTCACCCGCAGTTGGACAGATAAACATTGAAATTAAAGTTGAATGTAAAAGGAAATGTGAAAAAAACCAAAACCTTCATTTAAAGGAATCATTCATGTTTATGAGGGTCTTTTTCAGCTACTACTTTTGTGTTTACACAAAAGGCCCATCCCTATATAAGATCACTAGATCAGTTCATGACAAAGACACTTTTTAAACCAGCCATTTGCAAGGGGGGCATATGGCTCCCTGGGGAGCCCTGGTACATTTGAAAGGTAACAGGGACTGGAAACACCACCTTAAAAGGTTCCTTACGGGACTTGTACAATCCTGATTTGGCTTACATTTGTTTCATACTGTTTATGGCCGTGGCCAAAAAAAAAACGTTGAGAATGGCTGATTTAAACCAGGCTCCTTCCCCATTGCAAGCTCAGCATCTTAGCCACTGTGCTCATTGTTTTAGGTAAAAAGAGACAGCAAATTTATTTGGAACAGCCACATTTTCACTATGCCTGACTTATAACTCAACTGTTGAATGGACTGCAGGAAGGACTGAAGAAGGTGAAGAAAAATATAAATTTGTCAAAGTATCACTTATTTCAGAAAGATTTTAATTAATTTATTTATTTATCAGATTTATATACCGTCCATCTAGAACGTGTCCACTCTGGGCAGTTTACATATAATATAAAAATAAACTAAGATAAAATTCAAATTAGTCCAAGTTGGAAAAGGAAAAAAGAAGAGAAAAAAGAAAAGGGGAGATAGGCTAGGTAATGGCTGTAGGGAAGGCCTGCCTGGATAGCCATGTCTTCAAGTTAGTCTTGAAGGCCCTCGGCAAGGTAGCCAGGCGGATCTCTACAGGTAAGTTGTTAGGTGAGGGGCCACTGCCGAGAAGACCCGATTTCTAGTTTTTTTCCCACTAGGCCTTCCTTGGCACTAGGCCCCTCAGCCGCCCGGCCTGACTTGAGCAGGTGATACAGGTAGAACTGAGCGGAAGAAGGATTCTGACAGGTATCAAGGTCTTAAACCGTTGTCTTTATATGTAATAGTTAGCACCTTGAAATCAGTGTGGAAGCAGATAGGTAGCCAGTGTAAGGTGACCAAGGTGGGGGAAATATGGTGAAATCTTTTCACCCCTGTTAATAGCCTGGCCGCCATGTTCTGGACCATCTGAAGCTTCCGCATCAGTCTGAAAGGAAGCCCTACATAGAGAGTGTTACAGTAGTCTAATCTTGAGACTACAAGCACATGGACCAGTGTGGTGAGCACCCCCATGTCTAGATATGGACGTAGCTGGGCGATTTGCAGAAAGTGTAAGTGGGCAGACCGAACCACGGACGCTACCTAGGTCTCCATGGGAAGTGCCGGGTCAAGATGGATCCCCAGACTGCGAACCAAATTCTTTGTGGTAAGAGTCATCCCCCAAAAGAGAGGGAGTTCCCCAAACCACTGAAAATTTAAAAATATCACATTTGCAGTAAAGCTTAAGAAAGTTAATTTGGGGATGCACAACTGTAGAAAAAGTTACCTTTTTTGGAGTATAACGCCTAGCATCTTCTAGCCAGCAATGAGCTATGGTCCAAAAAAATAAATTAAGGGAGGGAAACCAGTTTCTGCACAGAAGTAAATTAACCTTTGATATTTGCCATACCACAAAGGATGGGGAGAATAAAAACAACCACCAGCTCAGAAAAATGGTTCTAGGAAACATTCATTTACCACAATATACTGTATAGTAACGTGAAAAAGAAAGTACACGCTGGTTGTTGTTTGGCTACGTTCTAGCTCCTGTCCTCTGAAGATGCCAGCCAGAGAGACTGGCGAAACATTAGGAAGAAAAAACTCCAGAACATGGCCAAACAGCCCAAAAAAACTACAAAAGCCTTCAAGAATACAAAGTACACTCTCTTTGAATTCTATGGTTTTTAAGTATCATGACATAATAAAAATCCTCTGGTCCTTAACAAGTCTGAAATTAGGTAAATAACAACCACAGGTGAACAACACATGACATATTACACTGTGTCATGATTTATTTAACAAAAATAAAGCCAAAATTGAGAAGTTCATGACAATACAATCAGAAAACGGTTGAACAAGTATGGTTTGCTTGGAAGAGTTGCCAGGAGAAAGCCTCTTTTTTCTAAAAAGAACATGACACCATAGCTTAGGTTTGCAGAGTTGCATCTGGACAAACCACATTTCTGGAACAATGCCATAACACACAGCACCACATTTGGCAAAAACCAAATACAAGCATATCAGCACAAACACATCTTACCAACTGTCAAGCATGGTGGTGGTGGTGTGATGCTTTGGGCTTGTTTTGCAGCCACAGGACTTGGGCACCTTTCAGTTACTGAGTCAACCATGAACTCCTCCATATACCACAGTATTCTAGAGTGTTGGTGCAAATTTGCAGCGTTTAGCGGAGTTCTGTGCCGGTCCAGACAGTCCAGTGGAATAACACAACACAGGCAGCTTCTTCCCAATACAACATATGTATAGATGTTCTAGCAGTCCAGACCAGCACATGACAACATAACATTCATCAGAAGAGATCCAACATTTTCTCCACATGTCCACACATTTACACGCATGCACAACATTTACATATAGCCAATCAGTAAAGACATTACATCACCCAGACAACACTTCATATAGCAATAAACATTTTGTGTGACTCGGCACTTTGCCCACCTGTCCAACTTGGCTGCTGATTATCACAGGCCTGGTTCTGCCTCAGCATGAAAATTATCCTTGACATAGAGTTAAATGTGAGCCATCCATCTGACATCTAAAACATGGGTGAAATTGGGTCATGCAATAGGATAATGATCCCAAGCACACCAACGAATCTACAACAGAATGGCTGAAAAAGAAAATAAGCAAGGTGTTGCAGTGGCCTAATCAAAGTTCAGGCCTCAACCTGTTTGAAATGCTGTGGCAAGACCTTAAGAGAGCTGTGCATAAACAAACGAGCGCGCACCTTAATGAACAGAAGCAACACTGTAAAGAAGAATAGGCCAAAATTCCTCCATAACGATGTGAATGACCGAAAGTCATAAAGAAAATGATTACTTCAGTTTTTGTTGCTAAACGTGGTTCTGCAAGCTGTTGAATCATAAGGTGTAGTTTTTCACACGTGGCTTCTCCATTTTGGCTTTATTTTCGTTAAGTAAATCATGTATTGTGTTGTTGTTCATCTGAGGTTCTATTTACCTAATTTTCAGACCCGCTAAGGACCAGATAATTTTTATTATGTAAAGCCATGGAATTCAAAGAAGATGTAGTTTCTTTTTCACATGACTGTACATACTCAGCTTGCAAATGTGTGTGGCATCCGCTCATATATTCATATGCTATCTGCACAAACCAATAGGTGTGCTAGAGGGGCAGAGTCATGAGATATAAGAGACTCAGCAGGAGGAGTCGGAGTCAGATAGTTTGAGATTAGTTGAAGAGTTGTGAGAGTTTGGGCAGGAGTGGTGGTTGAGAGGGATAAGAGACAACGTTTGTTTAAGAGTTAACAACATTGCTTGTTTTATCAACACCTGTATCAATAAACAATTTCCATTTGGTTCTTTTAAAATGACATATAGCCTGGACCTTGATTATTAATAATAGGTACTGTATTATTGATATAATCAACTGGTGGCAGCTGAGGGGCACATAGCATGAGCTTAGTTTGGTGAAACAAATAGGGGCCACGTGGGCAACTACACTATTGGAAAAGTAGAAGTATTACTAACCTTAAAGTTATGTTAGCATGATCTGCTAGTTTAATACATTTAGAATACCTGATTACTTTTAAGGGTGAAAACAGCTGAAAGCTAAACTGTGTGTTAGCAACACTATAATGATACAACACTGCCCAGTTTTGTACTAGTATAATTTCAACGGCACCATCCTGCTTTTAATAAACCTAAAAGGGAAAAAACTCTGTGGAGATATTATCTTGATACTTATTTGGAAAACCATTTAAGGATGCCAGCCCCTTGCTAATATCACTTATAATCGTACCTTTGCATAGGCAGATGACCGAATGAACCACTGCTTGAGATATTTCTTTTCCACTTTTGCTCCTGAACGCCATGAATAGCCATTTTCATCCACTTGTTCATTAGCGAGGACAGTCTGGTCCACAGGGTCCCAATTAACTACTGCCTAAATGGTGCCACAAATCAACAGAGAGGGAATGCTGATATTAGCAAGCATGTGACATAAATGTGCAGCCAGTTTCTCAGATGGCTATTAGGTATAAATATCCTGTTTGTGACTCCCAAAGCACATGCCAATTTGAACAAGCAAATGCCAATTGGAGTCACAACCAGTTGTCTCTTCTTCAAACCCTATTGAAGAACATATGTCAGAATTATTATTTTTTAAAAGAGTTCTCATAAAAAAGCTTTGTGCTATCCTAGGTAACATAAAGTGACCATAATACAGTATAGTGGTGCCCCGCATAGCGACGATAATCCGTTCCGGAAAAATCGTCGCTATGTGGAATCATCGGTGTACAAAACAAAAAAGCCCATAGGAATGCATTAAACCACGTTTAATGCATTCCTATGGGCAAAAAACTCACCGTTCAGTGAAAATCCTCCATATGGCCACCATTTTCGCTGCCCGGTAAGTGAGGAAAGGGCGCGAAAACACAGTGGGTGGCCATTTTTTTTACCCGGCAGCCATTTTGGAACCGCCGATCAGCTGTTAGAAAAAACATCACTATGTGAAAATTGGTAAGCAAAACAGCTTACCAATCATCGCAAAGCTATTTTTCGCATTGCAATGCGATCGCAAAATCTTCTTCGCTATGCAGATTCGTCATTAAACGGGGCACCCGTTATGCGGGGCACCACTGTACAAATGTTCCAAGGGCTTCTAGTGGATCCAAGTAAGTTATGGATGTCATTGGCTATAACTGAACAGAAATTCTTTTGGTGGGTTCCTAAACAGATCACATATACCGAGTAAAATTTATGAGTCTTTTCTTTTCAAACAACCGATTCCCATGCAGAACCTCAAGTTACTTTTTAATGGCTACTCAATTTAAAAAATGGTTCGCCATATGGTATATGAAGCTTGCCATTAGAGAAAAACAAAGATCAGATTCCCCTTGGATGCCTGGAATGGCATGCTTCTTCTGATCCCAGTTTTATAATTCCTTTACAAAGCATTACCCAGTTCAAGTTTTCTGATGGTGCTTCTGGATGAAATGGATGTATACGTAAAAAAAAACGTGTACCATTCAGTGCTTCTGGATGAAAAGAAGTTGTACCATTTGGCTTGAATGCTAAATATACATGCCAATAGTAAGGGGCAGCATGCTCCTTTTCCTTTCTTCTGGATAGTGATATACAGCTAGTCATAAATTTGTAGCAGCATTACAGTTTTCTTAAGAGGAGAAGATGGAAATAGCTTGAGTGATCTGTCTGTTATCAGCTACATCAGCAGAAGAGATGAAAAGCATATCTGCACATTGTTCAGGCCAGCCAATTTCTACACATTATCACTGCAAGGAAGAAAGCCGACTGCTAGAGTCACAACATAAATCATTTTGGATATTACCTGATTGCTGTAAGACAATATAATTACACAAATTAAACCATCTCAACATGAATATAGGAATTTAGGAATTTTTCACAGGAGGATCAATCCTCTATGGTCACCATATTTTTCTTATCTTTCTCTATTCAAGGTAAATTAGAAGTCAGACATATTATTAAATTACTGAGTGCAGTCCATCACTTAAATTGGACCCAGATTCTTGCCTGTTTGAAAGAAGGCTTTGTTCAGACATATGGAAAATGGTTTGCTGACATTCTCTCTTCAGCATGATAGTCCTTTATGTGAACTGTCTTGACAGCACACACAAAAATGTCCCTTCAGGTGGAAAACAATGCATGTGATCTTAATAAATTACAGCTAAAATTCTGTTGCACAGGTCTGTCTGTGCAATGGGAAAGGCATTGTCAGCAGTAGCAGACTGCTGCTATTTAAACAATTCCTTTTGTGATCTCGGAATGCACACAGCTCACATATAACGTGACAGTTGTGTTCATGCTGAAATTGCAGAAAGAAGCCTTTAATCAGTAGCAATCTCCTCCTGCTGCTGTCATTCATGTTGTGCAGGTGGCTCCTGCTCAAAAGGATTTCAGCAGGTATTTAATAGGATGTTTGTTTGTTTGTTTGGGTCATAAACCCCTTAATACACCTAGCCATCATGGCCATGCAGCCTGGTAATTATAATCTATAAAAATAACCTTTCCAGACTCTGCCATCATAGCAATCTTTGATATGCTTGCCAGAATCATCTGGCATCAGCATTAGATCTGTGCAGCATTTAATTCCTGCTTCTGGATTTATCTTGGTTTGATCTTATGGTGTTTTTATCACCGCTGCAATATTATACTTTATGTTTTAGCTTATCCATATGCTGCTTAAAGAACTTCAATTAATTTTAAAGAGCAGTTAAATAAATAATTTGGCTGCACACAGAGCCTCAGTGATGATACTCTGCATGTTCCCAGAAGCATTGTCTCTTTTCTCTGCTATCTTCCTCTTGACAAATGTTAGACAGCTGACATCTAGCTATGAAAACAACAGGCATGCTGATCCTTCAAGCAAATGGATTCCCTATTTTTATTCCATCTCATTCTTTGCACCCTGCTCCTTATTCTTTCACACTATCTCTCTTTAGAGAAAAGAATGAGCTGTGTGAATAGAGAAAGCAGCTGTCATTCAGAAAGGCCTTTTTGGGTCTCACTAAATGAGGTCCTCAGACTATCTGGAAAAAATGTATTTGCACATCAGATCCTGCCTTTTCTTCACCTGTTCCTTAAGGGTTTGATAGGTGAAACTGCAGTAATCCACCAACCCTTTAGGGTCCTAAAATATGAAGACAATTTTGTGAAAAAAATATTAAAACCCACATACGCAAGTAATGCTCTATCCTTGCTTGTATGCATCCAAAACACTTTGATCACCAAAAACTGATGCCAATTTAAGTATTGGAAGAAACCCAGATCTAGAAAACAGCATTTCCTTTTGGGCATGAAGGCACTCCTGTATTTGCTAATGTGGGAGTAAGTCTTGTTTACCTGTATGTTTGAGTAAAGATACATAGGATTGCCCTATAAATCTATGAAAGAAACGAAATCTTTTGGCGTATCTAAATGTCTTTCAGACAAATACCACTGCTGTATTAGCCTATACTAGCAACGGTGAACCTATGGCACACAGAGCCCCTTCTGCAGGCATGCAAGCCATAAGTTGCCAGTTCGCTACTCCCCCCCCCCCCCCCCCAACAGCCAAACCTGCAGCTGCGGTGCTGGCACATTGTCAGGCAGCAGGCCAGGATCCGGAGCAGCTGGCGCTGGCAGCAGATCCAGAGTGGGGTCTCGAAGCCCCTCTGTGCCCAGGATTCCCCCTTCTGCCGCCACTTCTGGTTCCGCCATGACCACTTCCAGTTCCGCCGCGGCCTGCCACCTGCTGGGATTTTCTTTCTTTCTTTCTTCCAGTTTGGGCACTCGGGCTCAAAAAGGTTCTCCCTCACTGGCCTATACTATTAAACTGGGCGCAATAAGGTGATTTGTCATCAGCTACAGAATTTGACCATTGCAATATGTTATATGCTGGACTGTCTCTTGATTAATCTGAAATGAAGCAGCCAGGCTGCTAAAAGTCACTTACACTTTTATACTGCAACTGTGAGTTTCTCATTTGATTATTCTATCACGTTTATCTGCCAATTTATTGTTCTTAGTTACTTCTTTTGGAAATACTAATGAGGGAGAGCTAAGATAGAAATGTTTTACATTCATCACCTCCTATTAAATAACATGAGGCAAAATATTTCTGTTTCTGTCTTGCACACACACACAAAACATGGCTGTCTACAAGTATAACTATGAAAATTATGCTGTGAAAGTTGTCACTAACAAAATTATTACACAAGGATTCTAAAGGCACTTCATAGTTTAGTATGATGCTACTCAACTTACTTCATTTTGGTACACTAATCCAGCTTCATGAAGTTTAAGAAAAATATACTGTGTCCACTTATAGTATTCTGGTGAACAAGTAGTTATTTCCTGCAAATGGAAGGACAGTTTCAATATAAAATCTGCATTGTGTCCGTTGCTTACCCAAGAGACTATCACCTGATACCCTGTTCCACATACACTCTAATGAACAGGTAAACTTGATGCTTTCCTGCCATTAAAACAAATGAGAAAGCCCTTTAAGGTTCCACAGTCTAGCACATAGAGAGAAATATACCTCATTTGATTCATTTTGCAAGATAGAGACTCTAGTGCTGTTTTAAGAGTAGGAGCTTTGTTACTCAAGCACTGTCTGTATAGCAAAGTCAGACTGATTAGACAGGCAAGCAGACAAATCTCATACACGGGACTTTCTGGCTGATGTGAAAGTCTGTTTACTGTGGCCGTACACAAAAGGTAAAAACCAGTTTTCTCACTCAAGGCAAAGCAAGCAAGACCAATTTCTTTTCTCACCAGTGAGAGATAGAAAGAAATGACCAGCTACCAAGTGTCTTCTCTGGTTATGGCCCTACTCTCAATTCTTTTCCCTCCACATCCCTGTTAATCTAGAGTGTGAGCCTGTCAGTAGGCTTGTCTCTGCTCCCCTTATGTTTTATAAAGCCCTTTTGGTGATTAAGAAACACCAGCTAGAATCCTGTTTGTGCACCTCTCTGGTCACAAAAGGATGATGACGTCCTCAGCCACTGACATAAATTACATGGTGGGGCACTGGGGCATTCTCTTAGCCACAGCATGGCAGAAGGGCCAGCCAGCGTACAGAAGGGTGAGCGAGGCCACTCCAATCCCTCAGCTGCAACTTCCTCTTTCCCTTCCTTCTCTCTCTCCTTCCCTGCTTTGCCAGGTGGCTCCACCACAGCCCACTCCTCGCTGCAGTGTCTGGGTGGGCAGGGTTGGTGCCCTCTCCACTCTGTGGCTGTGGCTGAGCAGGCGGAGAACCGCCTCTGCATGACTTGAGGAGCAGCCTCTCTGGCTGCCTGAGCACTGAAGGTGGTGGCAGAATGACAGGCAGAGGGGAGGTGGCAGTAACCACCACCGGCAGGCCATGCTCTTCCCGGCTTGGGGGATGTGGTTGGGGCCAGGGACGGAGCCAGCAAAGTGAGATGACAGGGATGAGGCGCTGTTGGCAGAGCCTGAGGCTTCCCCTTTAGTCCCGGCCCCTCTCTGTTCCCTTGCAGCTTCATTGGGGGGGGGGGAGAAGAGGAGGCAATGTGGGCATTCCTGCAGAGCGGCAGCACAAGGGGTCTTTGCTGGAGGAGCATCTGCACCAGGCCCAAACGGCCCTGCTGGGCAACATACTGCTGTGCCTACTGACTGGGCCAGACAAGACAGTGGTGGCTGCCGCCGTGGTCATGGACTACTTCTCTTGCTGGTTCCCTGGTGCTCTGGTCACTTTTTCAACTCAGGGCTCTCTTGATTTACTGGTCACTGGCCGTTGGTCCTCAGAACAATACTTTGGGTGAGGGAGGTAGTAGAAGTTCATTTTTTGCTCCCTGAAAATAATTAGTGAGTAATTTAATAATTCCCACCCCAAGTATCATTGGGGAGACGTGGCCAGTGGCCAGTAAGCCAAGGGAGCCTTGAGTTGAAAAGTTTGGGAATCACTGGACTAAGATATTAGAGACCTCACCGAGTGATGAAACTCACTCAGTGTTCTTGGGCTTTGCTTAGTCTGACAGACCTCACAGGTCTCGGAAACAGCCGTGTCTTATACTCTGAGCTAACCTGGAAAAAAAGATGATATAGAAATGCTACAAATATAAAACAATATAAAAAGTAAGTTAATCTGTGAAAACAGTGTTACTAAAAATTACAAGTGAGAAATGTAATGTACTTTAAAAATACAGAAGATTTAAAACTTAAAGTAATCCAAACAAGTATCTTCAAGATGTGTTGCACTACAACTCTCATTGACCCCAACACAAATCACCATTATCTGTGTTGATAAGAGCAATGGGAATTGTAGTTTGACACATCTGGTGGACACTAGGTGGGGGATAATAAGCATAGATAAGTTCCCCAACTACATTTAAAATATATAATTGTTAAACACTTTTAAACTTACCCGATCCCAGCTAAAAGACAGGCTTAATGCCTCAAGCTGATTGCGCATGTGCTGAATGTTACTGTAAGAAAAAAATAAAACAAAAAAATAAAACAAAATCTGATGATGATGAAAAGCATTATTTTAGGAAAAGCTCAACCCCAGAAAAGAGGCAGTGCCTAATGTTCAACCTGCTTAACCCTCTCTGGCTTTGAACTACAGAGAGGTGGGGCAGATTTGTCCTATCTGCCTCGCAGCTCTGTCTTTGGTTGAGGTATCTGATGGTGGAGCCAGAGTTTGGGGATTTGACTCCCCACTGTGCCTCCCTGACAAGGGCAGGACTGATTCATAGGGTCCCACCCAGCTCTGCAGTTCTAAGATGATGATGATGATTCAGCATAAGAAATTAACCCCCAGCATGTCAGTTAAGTAGCATATAAATGACATGACATGGAAGAAAAAAATAATAATTCTAGCACAGTGTAAGAAAAGAGTGAGCTACAAATTCACTCTCTCCCTCTCACACACATAAGATGAAAGGTCTTTCCTCTCCACCATATGAGGATTGTACCTCACCTTCCTCCTCTCCCCACTGCATCTTTTGTTACAGCAGCAGCAACTATTTATTTAGTAAGTATCTCACTCGCATTAGTGTTGAGGCACTACTCTGCACAGATTACAACACATGTAATAGAAAACAAAAATAAAAAATAGAAACATTAAAAGCAGCAACAATAACCCTAAAACCAGACTGATCATATAAACCCAGAGCAGATGGAGGAAAAAGCCTTTAATTGCTTCCTAAATATCAGCAGGGAGGAGGCCAGATTGAGTTGGCGCCACAACACTGGAGCCACCGTGAAAACCCTACCCTCTTGTAGAAGACATCTGGGTCTCCCTTGGGGTGGCCGCCCAGAGGAGCCTCAACTAGCTACTCCCATCAACAACCACCCCCAGCCCGCCCACCCCCCAGCCTGTCCAATGTGTAAAACGGCCACAGCTACACAAATCAACTAGCATCGCTTTAAATTAAAAAAAAATCAAGCCCCAAATGAGGCATTTACAGCTAGCTCTGTGTAATGCAGTGCCAGTAAATACTGTAATAAGATAAGTAAATGGGCAAGGAAGGAAGGTCATGTTGCTCACAGCATTTTCACCAGAATGCAACTGGCTCTGATGCTAGCAGTTGAATGTGAGGGCCAAATTATCATTTAGCACATGAAATGGTTAACTGGCAAACAGGTTTAATAATGGAATTGAAAAACCAGGATGACCTTGGATAGATGGCAGACAGGTACCCCACTGCTGGTACTGCAAACTGAGGCACTGGGGGAAGGAGGCAAAGCAGGGGTGGGGGAAGAAAGGGGGAGAGAGAAGTGACAGCTGAGGTAGAGGGGCAGTAGAATGCATTGCTCCAAGTACTGGAGTGCCTATGGTGGTTGCCACACTCATCCTAACAGACTGACCAGCCCTTCTGGTGGACAAAATGCCTATTAATACATGACTACACCCCCTCCCCCAGGATAAACTACATAGCAGGTCATGCTAAGACTACAAATGCATGCAGAACAGCAACATTTGCAACCATATATAGTTAAGGAGGAACTCTAATGACAGATGCATTACTCAACACATGTATTGTTCTTTAGAGCAGGACGTAAATACTTTTGGAAGTAGCAAACACAGTAGTCAATGTACCACAACCTTCTGCTTTGACACAATCATATTTCTCAAGTAACTAGAGAAGCAAACACCTTTTCGTCCAGTTTGCTGGATGCAATTTATGCTCAATTGCTGCATTCTCAGCAGGCAATCCAAACGCATCCCATCCCATTGGATTTATCACCTGTAACAAAAATAAGACTTGTCATCTTTTGTCACTTTCCAGAGTGGATTTAATAATACCTTCCAGGCTCAAAATAATGAAGCACCTTTCCAAATTCAGAATGTTTGTTCTTTCTTTGAATCAGCCAAACTATGTCCATCAAAAACAATTTGCCTTTAAGCAAAAAAGCATGTCAGACTTTTTGTCTTCCTTAGGCCTGCGAAGGGGCTCCATTTGCTCTGCACAAGCACACATTCCAAGAGAGGGGGAAAGACTTTTATTCTTTTTCTTAAACTGGCACCAGCCTATATCCTGTCATTGTCACTGTTGGCACTGTCAAGCTGCTGTAAGATTTGCCTCTTAAGTCAAAGCTCATCCTAAAAATGAGATGATCAGAAAGCTGCATGGTGTCATTGTTAAATGCATTTCTTAGTGTCCCATTATGATAGACTGATTCCATACCTAGAAAAATGCATAATTAGAGGAAAAGACTGTTTATCCTAACAGATGTTGCTTCAATCCACATTATCTGTCCTTTGGTTTGGAACTGGCCAGCTGGGAAATAGAAAAAACTTTGCTTGCATGTTTGTTACCTTGGGCATGTGCCAATGAAAGATTTGCATGCCTGGAGGGATGATACTGTAAGAGGAGAAAAATAACCATTTGCCTTAAGGCAGGATACGACCCTTAGCCACCTTTTAAAAGACTGCCATTATCCCAAGATAGCTTATAAAAATATTATGCTTAGAAGACATACTATTAATCTTTATTTATTCATATCAGAGTGTTGCACAATTTAAAATTATGGACTTGCATGAAATACAGGTAAAACTAAAACAAATTAAAATATTAAGATAATTTATATATTAAGAATATTAAGATTATTTTTGACCAGAAGTGGGCTATTTCAATAGCATTATCTCAGCCATTGGATAATCTTCTTTTGTACATGTGATGGGATATAAAATGCCTACACATAAGCGCTCCATTGGTTGCATTTCTCCACAGTAACAAAATCATCAACAAAAAGGCCATAAATCATTTTGAAACAGATTTAAAAGTAAACCAAATAAGCTAATTCCAAAATGTAAACAGTAAAACTTTTCAATTGAGGAAAACAAAAATATAGTATGTCTAAAATCCTCTTAGAAACAGTAACTGGTTGGACCAGCTGTCTAGCTGTTTACTCAAAGGAGAATTCCATATAGCCTGTTCTTGTGTGCCTGTCAATTGGGGGCCTCTCCCAAGGAACATAAGACACAGGAAATTCCTAAGACAGTCCTTCAAACAACCTATATCTACATGGTTTGGGCTTTAACAGTCAAAACCAGCCTCCAAACACAGAGGGATGGCAAAGATTACTTTTTTGTTCTTTACAGTACAGTACTCAGAACATTCTCGGCACTGACTAACCCAACAAGGCTTCAAACTGACATATCTGGACTGTTTAACATATGCTTTAAGACAGTAGCAACAATTACACAAAATGGAGACATTCACTACTTACAACTAAACTATTAAATTCACCTATCAAGTGATGTCAAGTGTGTTTACTAATTTTGATATGAATTGTTGGTGTTAAAAACATTTTTTCTAGCAACTGATAGTTTATTAGAAAACCAGCTTATGTATATACTGTAAATGTGTTACTACAGATAATATTCAATATCTAGAATTACATGAACTTTTATAGTGATTGGCAGCAGGAGCTAACCACTTCTTTATCAACTTCAGGTCTCTGCAAAGGTATCCAGGATGCCAGGCAAACACCGGCACTTATGAAGCCTTCATGACATTGACTAATGTTAGCCTGCACTAAATATCACTGTCCATATATACCAAAGACAGAAGATCTGCACTTTATTTGGCTTTTGTATTTTGTTCCCATTGTAACACACCTGCAATGTAATCTTGTTATATCTGCAGTACAAAGTTATCAATTCAGCATGCCTTCTTTTCCACCAGTATCAATCAATTTACTTTACCCTTCGGTTAATACATCAGAATTTCTTACATCATTAGAAAAAATACACAAACCTGGAAAAGAATATTTAACGACCAACATTCTGCAGTACAATACAAGTCTAACAAATAAGGAGTCATTTCTTCAGGCATATCAATTACACACTATATTTGTCTCTTCTGAGATTACAACAGTTTTGCATGAATTTTTTTTTGGCCCTATAAATATTTGACAACTGCATGTTTAGGATTCTGAAGCAACATATTCCCAGGGTGGTGTCCATACAACACCAGAGAAACACTGCAACAAAAATTACCTCTAGCTCAAAAACAACATAGTGTACTAAGGCAGTGACCTTACAATTTACTTGTTCCAGAATAAGTCCTGTGGAACGCAGTAAGATTGATTTCTGAGTAAACCTGCATAGGACCATGAGGTATTTTCTCCTAAACCTTCAAGAAGCCATTATGTCAACTATGGTAAAACTGTAAGACAGTGGTGTTCAAATGTATATACCATATTCATTCTTGACCCCCATGTATCAGTCTGAGATCTAACAGCGAACCAATCAAAACAAGCCACATTCAAAATGAAAACAATAAAAGCAACATGTCATAAGCAGAAGCATTAAAAAGGTATCAAAAGGCATAAAATTATTTCCATTGTCTCATGTTTCACCTGCCACCTTCCCCCCAGCGACATATTGTTGTTGCTGTTGTTTAGTCATTAAGTCGTTTCTAACTCTTCATGACCCCATGGACCAGAACACGCCAGGCCCTCCAGTCCTTAACTGCCTCCCGGAGTTGGGTCAAATTCATGTTGGTAGCTTCGATGACACTGTCCAGCCATCTCGTCCTCTGTCGTCCCCTTCTCCTTTTGCCTTCACACTTTCCCAACATCAGGGTCTTTTCCAGGGAGTCTACTCATGAGATGGCCAAAGTATTGGAGCCTCAGCTTCAGGATGTGTCCTTCCAGTGAGCACTCAGCGTTGATTTCCTTCAGAATGGATAGGTTTGATCTCTCTGTAGTCCACGAGACTCTCAAGAGTCTCCTCCAGCACAACAATTCAAAAGCATCAATTCTTCGGCGGTCAGCCTTCTTTATGGTCCAGCTCTCAGTTCCATACATGGCTACTGGAAAAAACATAGCTTTGACTATGCGGACCTTTGTCAGCAAGGTAATGTTTCTGCTTTTTAAGATGTTGTCTAGGTTTGTCATCGCTTTCCTCCCCAGAAGCAGGCATCTTTTAATTTCATGGCAGCTATCACTATCTGCAGTGATCATGGAACCCAAGAAGGTAAAATCTGTCACTGCCTCCTTATCTTCCCCTTTTATTTGTCAGGAAGTGATAAGACCAGTGGCCATGATCTTAGCTTTTTGGATGTTTAGCTTCAGACCATTTTTTTGCACTCTCCTCTTTCATCCTTATTAAAAGGTTCTTTACTTCCTCCTCACTTTCTGCCATCAAAGTGGTATCATCTGCATATCTGAGGTTGTTGATACAGTGGTGCCTCGCATTACGACGTTAATTCGTACCAGTGAAATCGCTGTAGAATGAAAACATCGTAAAGCAAAATTAAAAAGCCCATAGAAACACATTAAAACCC